ACCGGGACGCCGCTTCTCCCCTTTCCGCCTTCCCTCGCCAGCCGGGCGGGCAGCGCGGCCCCGGCGCTTCGGGCACAGAGAACAAACGCGCTCCTGCAAAAGAAAGAGTGCGAGTGTGGAGGGAGCGAGAGCCCGGGCTGCGGCAGGGTTTGCCCCGGCCCGGTGACAGCGGGAGGCGGCTGTGCTGAACCAGCGGGGACGCTGCGGGGAGCGGCAGGAGGAGAATGCTCGGGGTCAGGCGCCTCTCTCGGATCAGGTCCTGATGAGAACAGGACACGGGGAGAGGCTGCTATGGTTTGTGTGTCTGCAAACGGGCAAAGCGTTCGGGACCCGAGGGCTGGAAGTGAGCCCCAGCCTCTGCCCACCCGTGTGTCCACCCCGCGCTGCCTCACAGGTACATTAAAAACGCATTTTTGAGCGCTGTCAAAATTGCACTGCTGGAGGATTTTTCCATCTCCGCTCAAGCCTTCTTGTCAGCTTCAGCCTCAGGTTCCTATTTCTGTTTGTCATGTTCTGAATGGAGCGCAGGGCCCAGGGGTGCTGAGCTCTGAGCAGACACAGCTTAGTTAATCCAATAGTCCTGTGCTTGTTCTCCTGCTTTTTACAAACAAATGAACAGTTTATGTGTGCGGATCCTTTCATTCCCCACCAGAACAATCCTCCGCACAGAACAGGGGAAAACGCCTAGTCAGTCACAGGAAACCAGCACGGTGCTCTGGGGTGGGAAGTGCAAAACACCGCGTCCACCCAACCTGGGTTTCATAGCACTGCAGGACTGGGAGAGGCAGGGCGCAGGAACTGCCCCAGGTGAGAGCTGGGCTGGCTGCACAGGCTTCCTCAAAGGCAAGGCAGCTTCCCCAGCACTGCTGGCTGCGGGCACTCAGCTGCGGGCCTCAGGCAGGAGAGACACTGGCACAGAGGCAGCAGCAGAGCCCTGCCAGCCTTGGGGACCCCGCGGCACGAGCTCGGGGCTCCGCGCTCGCTCTCCTGCGTGGCTGCTCTGCTGGATTTTATTTCCCAGGAGCGCTGCTGCCCACGGCTGTTCCTGCTGAGACACAGGAGCGGTGGGCAGCGTCTGAGTGCCGGGGTGTGAGGAGGCCGGGGATCCCCCAGGGAGCCCGTGTTTGTCCGTGTGTCTGTCCCAAGAGCCGCCAGATCCCGGCTCCTGGCCCCAGGAACCACACGGCTCGCCCAAGTGCCTCCCTTTGTTTCAAGCCCTTGGAGCCTGGAGCACTTGTTGAACCTGACGGCGAGTGCAGCAAAGTGGCCGACAATTAGGAAATAAACAAATATCATCGGAGGCGTTTTTGGGCGGAATCCAGTCACACATAGCTGGGCTCGTTGCTGTTGTTATCATATGGAATATTCCTCGTAGCTGTGATGTTTGTGCTGTGCAGCAGCGTCCCCGGCACGGCAAACATGGCATTATCTCGCTGTGCAAAGGCTTCATTAATCACAGCAGACAATGGGCCCGACACATCCCTTTGAGCCCGGCGCTGGGATCCTCCGGGCTTTTCACCTTGTCCAAACGGCTCATCCCTGTCAGTGCAGGCAGCAGCTCCTCAGAACTGATCGCTCTGAGCTGTGGCACTGACAGGAGAATGTCCAATTCAGTTAACAGAATTCCCCAGTTATTTTATATTCTCCCTTTAACTTCTCATGGCTTGTAGAGGCAGAACTTTTTCACTCTTTCTGTCTGTACATGAGATCCATCCAGTCATTTGTTAAAACTCTACTGAAAGAGCCTGATAGATGTGTGTCCTTCAAAGCAGCAGCAGCGCTGAGATGGAGCAGGATGGAGTGGCCTGGCTGAGCCGTGGCCCTGCCGACAGGAGCTGCAGGGCGGACAGCAGAGGGAATGTGTCATTCTCCTGACAGAGCATCCTGGCAAAACCACGGCTTGGTGCAGGGGACGGCACACCAAGGGGTGAGGTAGGACCTTGTGTGCTGGGAACGGGTGTGTGTGCAGTGTCCCCTTTCCCCCAGCGCAGCACCGCGTGCTCCGGGCACAGAGCCGGCAGCGGTCGGGCACGGCAGCCCTGAGAGCCCCCGGAGGGATGGGCTCCATCCCACCCCTGTGAGGAGGGGAGCTCCCGGTGCCTGTGGCAGGCTCTGCCTCGGGCTGGGTTCTGTCCCCCGCCCTGGTTCCCGTGGCCCTGGGACCCCAGCGGGCACTTGTGGCACCGAGCTCGGCTGTGTTCTGTGCCCATCTCTGCCACCTGCAGCCTGGTCACTGCAGGCCTGAGGGACACGCTCCAGAATGAGCCCAAATCCCCCTCCTGAACAGAAACACACCACAGCTGGCTCTGTTGAGGAGCAGAAACTGAAGGAGCCGTGGCACTGGGCGAGTAGAGCCCTTTGGCTGAGAGGGGTCTGGTTCCAGTTCAGCCTCTGGGCTCACATCTCAGAAAGCCTGAATTCAGTCCTCATTTCTCCAGGGGCGGGGAAACTCAACACTGTCACTCTTCCCTTTCCTCTTCAGGCAGCAGCAGACACCTGAATGGAGACTCCTCGTGTTTACAGCCTGGTCACAGGAGTGACTGAGACCTGAAATCTCCCTGACATCCTCTCTGGCCTCGTTTGTGCCACACCTGCTCCCTTCCACCGGTGTGCACTGCACAGGACACTGGAAAAGCACTTGGAGATGGTTGGAGGAAGAAGGGGGCTTCCTGGAAAACAGTCCCTAAACCAGGCCCTTCCCTGTGCCCTGGCTTTTCTGGGGCTCGTTAACATCGGTGGTACGTGCTCATATCTCAGTTCTCCAGGATTAATTAAAAACCCACAGACAATGCCATGCCCAGGGGCTTCGCAATTATGTCAGCAGGCTCTGGCTAGGGCCCTTATGTTTGTAATAAACATGACATGCTTTTAACTGCTGGGGTCTCCAGGTTTCTGTGTGCTCAGCCGTTGGGCTCTGCGTTCCAGGTTCCTGCTGGAGGAACTCTGTCACCTGCCCCGAGGCAGCAGATCTGAGGCCAGACGTGGTGTGCGCTGCTTGCGCGTCAGACACGAGTAATAACAGGTTCCGGGGAGCTGTACCACTTAATAAAAGCGTTTTATTACATTTAAATGTATTAAAATGTGAACATTAAATTCAACACGCTAATTACTGCTCCCAGGCATTGCCACTGACGGGAAATGGATCCTCACAACTGCTCTGCTGAGATCGCTCACTGCTGTTGCTGCTCTTTGGTTCCTGGTGTGTTATTAGTGCTCTGCACTTGGGACTGGAGTCATTAACAAAAAGGACTCGTGTTGGGCGTTATGTAAATTCTGTGTACGCTTCCACACAGCCGCCGGGGCCTGTGGTGTGTGTCTCATTGAGAAAAAGCAAAGGAAATGCATTTGGCTGTGCCCTGGCTTGAGGGTGAGCTCACTGTGCTCTCAGGGATCACCCAGGCACAGCCACAGAGAGGGAAAACCCCTTCCCGACACATCCTTGTGTTTCTGGAAATCCCTTTCCAGGAAAATTTGTCCCCCCCGACCAGCTTGCCGCGTGTCCTGTGACACCCTACCACGGACACCAACAATTCCCGCTCTGTGTGGAGCCTCCCACTTTTCTGGGAGCGAGGAGCTTCCCATCCCTGCAGCAGGCATGAGCAGCACCTGGATCCATTGCCCTGGAAAAGCGGGAAAGCCTGCCAGGGGTCTGTGGTAGGTGAGGCCAGGTGCTCGGCTCCGTGAGGCCAGTCCCACACCCTCACCACGAGGCCAATCCCCCACACCCCAGAGGAAAGGGGGATGCTCAGGGACACGTGGCTGCCTCCCGAAATGAAGAAGAGCGTAAAGCTGTTCAGATTAGAGCACATCAATCCCTGCGCTGGAATCAAGAGGTGCTTTGGTTTGGCAGCTACTGGGGACAAAGCCACCATTTCTGTTCAAAGTGTACTTAATGCGACAGAAGGAGGCGGCTTCTTTTGACAGTTTTACAGCTCTTATCAGATTACATCAAAATTAAATTAAAACAATCTGAAAGGAGTGTGAAGTACTGTGGGGAGAGCACAAACAAAACACTCCTCTTTGTAGGCTTTCAGGGAAGGGCCCACAGTCCTTATCAGGGATGGGAGGATGGAGATTATTCTTGAGTCAATTATGAGCCCGATGAGCACCGAGACATGGAACAAAGTGGGAAATACATCGGGGGACCAGGCTAAGGCTCCTTATTTCCCTATTTTTCGTTAAATAAATAGCAGGACGTTGAGCCCTGCCTGCAGTTCAACATCCCTCAGCCCTAGCCTGGGTTCCTCAGGGAAAAAAATCCTCCCAGGGCTGCCCAGGAGACGAACTGTGCATCCCGATGGGTCAGGGGCCGTCGGCCCCTTTCCACCACAGCCTAAAAATGCAGCTTGGGAATAAGGCTTGCAGTGGGCTGGGCATTTCAGACAGTGCTGGGAGCTCCAGGGAGTTTTGTGCTGTTTGGGGTGTTCTTTTAGCGAGCACAGATATTTCTGAAAGCAGGCCCAGGTTTCACCTGCGGGCTCTTGTGGAAGGTGTGAGGGAGATCTCCAAAACACAGCTCTGCCTTCAGTAAGCAGAGGAAGGGGGGAGAACCGTCCTCATGACGAGCCCACTTTATGGGAATGCAATCCTAAAAGGCTCCCAAGTGCTCTGCTGGGCATTCCTGGGGTGGGAAAGCTCTGATCAAGCCCATCCACGCTTTGTTGAGCCGGCTATTTCGGGGACACACACGGGGTCTGAGCCAGGCTAATTTGGGGACGGCTGGGTGCCACTACACCCTGTCCACAGAGCTTTTGACTCTGTCTTCAGATCTGTGGGGCTGAGCTGGAGGCTGCAGGTGTTGGAAACACCAGAAATGCTGCTGGATCACCGAACCCAGCCGAGGAACCCCAAAAGCTTCCGATCCCCCCACGTCCAGGGTATGTCCCCAGCCAGAGCCTCCAGCTCCAGCCGAGCTTTTTCCATGTGTCGGTTCTTGGCCAGGAGTTCTAATGAAGGGTAATTACTGTGATGATCTCGCACTAATTGTACACTGATTGCTGTCCTAATTATGCTTGAGCATTTCACCGCTCTCCGCAATTTTGTCTATTGATGTATCGCTTCTCCTTCATTTCAATTATTCACGCGGCATTCAGATTTTATTGGGGGCCCGGAATTTAAGCGCTCATTTGGCAACTTCCTTTCAAAGGGATCAAAGTTTTTATCTGGAAATGAAAGGCGGGCGTTGTGTTTTCATTCTGCAGCTGGAGGTGTGAGCGCAGGGCTGGGGATGGCTGTGGCTTCTCCCATGTCAATTTTGGAGAGGTGGCGGCACCAGAGGGACACAGTGGCACTCCAGAGGACGAGCAGTCAGGGTTCTTTTCTTGAAAACCATTGTGTTCAATAACCTCGGCAAAACCGAGCTGTGACTGTTCAGCAGCTCCCGGTTATTTTTTTGGACTGGCGCTTTGCAAATTTCTTCCTTTTCCAGGGACACGAAGCCTGCCTCGCCCCAGCTGCCCTCCAGCACCAGGCCGGGGGCGCAACACCCGCGGCAACAACGCGGTGGTGAGAGCTGGGGTAACGACAAATAACGATTTTAAAAACTAATAATAGAAACACCTTCCAGGCTCCCAAAGCGCCTCTGGGCGGCGCAGGCCGCGCCCGCCCGTCCCCATGGCAACGCGGGGCGGCACTTCCGGG